AATCCATAGCATGCTTTAAATCTGCCACCATCATCCTGGTCCCAAAGAAGCCTCAAGTCACCTCACTCAATGATTACGGCCTGTCGCACTGACTCTTATCCTGATGAAGTGCGCCATCTCTGCTGCTCTCTACCTGAGCCAGGCACACTTGGAGGAGAAGAACACCCATGTGCGGATGCTGTTTCTGGACCTCAGTTCAGCTTTCAACACCATCAACCCACAGCATCTGATGGCAACTGAAACAGCAGGCATTCAATACACCCCTCTGCAACTGGCTGCTAGATTTCCTCACCAACAGACCTCAGTCAGACTGAACACCTCTGATGTCATCACCTTAAGCACAGGCTCCCCTCAGGGCTGCTGTGGAAGATGAGGAGAGCTTACCTGCCCCCACCCATCCTCACCACCTTCTACAGAAGCACTATAGAGAGCGTTCTGACCAGCTGTCTCACTGAGAGGTGTGGAGGCTGCAGAGCCTCAGACTGGAAGAAGGTGAGAAGAGTGGTGAGAACAGCAGAGAAGATAATCAGGGGTACTCTCCCCTTCATAAAAGACATTTCATCCCAGCTCTGCATGTCTGGAGCCCGTAACATTATAAATGACCCCTCACACCCCCACCATGGACTGTTCTCCCTGCTGCCGTCTGGGAAGAGACTTCGAAGCATCAGATGCAGGTCCAGCAGATGCCAGAACAGTTTCTTCCCCACTGCCATTAGACTGCTGAATGTTGTATAAAATAGGGTTTAAAAAAAAGAACCCTTAATGTTGGAAACCGTAACTCATTTAAAGTTGTATGTTTACATTTATCACTGCTGTCACATTTCTTGAGAACTGTACTGAATGAAATTTCTTTTTGTATACACTCTGTGTGTACAAAATGACAATAAAGTCTGTCTAGGCTTTGTTTGAGCTGAAAGTTTAGTTAGACGGTTGTGTTTTTGTAGATTTGCAGAGGTCTGATACTCTTTCAATTTCTATATTATTGCTTGCACAGTGGTCCTTAGGATCTTTCTCAGATCTGCCTGGTTGAATCTTCACAAAAAATAAACATTTATATCTTTATGTTTCAAGCCTGAAATGTGACAAATGGCCGAAAATTTCAACGGGGTCGAATACTTTTGCAAGGTGCTATACTTACATTCAACTAAAATCAGACATAAATCAGGAACCTCAAAACACTGTTTGTTTTGCAAAACTGTCAGAACCAGAACTGTCCAACCAATGTGCAGCATTGTGCTCATAAGCAGCTGGGAAAAAATATAAAGTAGGTCTGGATGGTTTAAGTCTGCAGGGGGTGCTGTGCAGGGGTGTGAACAGCAGGTGTAATGGTTTGTGACAGCAGCAGCAGAGGAGGGGCTCACAGCTGGAATGCTCCTGCAGGTTAACACACGCCCTCCAGCCGTCATGTCAGGAGATAACAGAGCTGAGGAAAGTCTGCCTGGCAGAACAGCAGCTCTGCTGAGATAACATGAGAGGATACCGAGGCATTAAGTACACCCTGTTCATCTTCTGTTACTTCTTCTGGGTAAGTCTGAGCAGCTGTTGGATCAACAGGAACTTTACTCCTAGGTTCCTCCTCATGTAACTGATTTCATGGTCAAAACTGTTCAGGAAGGAGATGCTTCACACCAGAGAATCTTAAGCTGAAGGTTTTATTTGGGCTAATTTAATAAAAAAAAAAAAAAAAAAAGGAGCTGTTAATAAAACACTTAAAGAACTTCAATGAACTGTTTTAAATGTTATTAATATCAAAAAGCTGTGAAATGATTCTTTGTGGTCTGGGTGTGGCAGCTCTTCAGCTTGAGACATTTCATACAAATCATGATTAAAGTCAGGAACCCCCACAACAGTTCGCTTAGCATCCCAATCCATCTCTCCGTCTGATGGATCCACAGTGTTCTTTGATCTGTTTAATGAATCTCCTGCCTTCTTAAGGTTTTTTTTGCCTTCTGAAGATTTTTTCAATTTGGTGATGTTTTGGTGGTTCAGAATCTCACCATCCTCTTCCACTCCGGCTCGGTTTTGTTGGACATTTCTCCTCTGATTCTGACTCTGCTCATCTACAACCGTCAAACAGAACAACTCACTCGCTCAATGATGCATTAGATGAAACAGGTTCAGACTTTGAAAGCAGAGCTGTGAGAAGAAGTCCAGTTTCAACAGCTTAACTTCAGTATAAAAGCTGGAGGTAACAAGAACTGCTCACACTTATCTCCTTGTGAATCTGTAGGTTGTCAGTGCTGTCCTGATAGCAGTGGGGATCTACGCCAAGGTCGCCAAGGAGAAAGGTCAGTAATTAGAGGTCAATTCCAGCAGTATGTTGTGGCTGGATTCTGGTTCTGCTTTTTCCTCATAATATTTTTATGTGTGATTTCAGCCTTCTCTTCATCCAGATAGTCTATAGGCTTCCTAAGACTAACCCTGTCTGATCAGGGTCCATGTCTGTTTATAGGGTGGTGCTGAAAGTTTGGAGGTTCCTCATGGGGAAGCTAAAGGCATTTTTTTTTTTTTGCTGTTTGGTTTGAAAGCAAAAAAATGTTTGTCTTCTTAATAAAACTTTAAAAAAAAAACTCAACTTTAAAACATCTCAATAAAAGAAAACATTTTAAAAAGTTTGTGTGAGAATAAAAGTTATTTTTTGTTTGCTTTTTCTAAGATTTTATTTTTCAAATGTTTTTTTTTTCCCCAAATATGTTTATTGATTTTTCTTTTTTTTTCCAGGCTTAATTATTTTTTTTTTTCCAGATTTTTTTTCTTGGGAGGTTGAGTTTTATGAATTGCATTCTTTTCTAATGCAGTTCTATTGATTTCCCCTGGACATATTTGGGTGGTCTGTGACCAAAAGAAATGATTCTGCTCTGCATGGACATTAGAAACAGTATTTCTGTTGGTCTGCCTAATGATGACTAAGAAGGGGAAAGGGTTGAATCTCACTAGTCAGTCTAATGAGCTGAAGCGGGAGAAGGGAAGGAGGTAAGATGCTGTTCAGTGGGAAGAGAGGATGTCCCGTATTATGACTCATAAATATGACGGTGAGGAGCTGTGCTGATATGCTGGAGCAGAGGTTTATGATGAGGAGAATAGTTGCAGCTAAGAGCCGTTCAGATTGAATTTGGAAAAAATTTTGGTTTCCCTCGTTTAATAAAAGAAATAAATACAATGGTCACATAACATGAATAAGAAAGAAGTTGTAATAAATTCAATTCTATGAATATGAGAAAAAGTCAAGTTAGACATTGTTTTTAACCATGCTTCAACATAATGATTTCAAAAGACAGGCATAAAACAGACATAAAACAGGACGTATCTGCAGTAAGCAGTATCAGCCGTGCTGCTGCATCCTGTTTGGTCACACAGGCCACCTGCCGTACAGTGGTGCAAATTCTGCATGATCATGGCAGCAGCGACAGGGGTAAAAAAAAAAGCCATAATCATCCGGTACTGCATGTTGAACTCTGACAAACTGCTCTTCCAGTTGTGCTTGTGCAGAAATGTGTCTGTTCGCTCTAAGCTTAGAGTTTGTGCTTTATGCTACACAATAATGTTCGCTTTCAGCAGTCTGGCTCTTCCTGCTCTCGCTACTAAATAAACGATATGGGGCTGATCATCCTCTGCCATGCGAAAAAATTTATTTGTCTAGCTATTAAGATTTTATTTCTTCCAGCTCATAAGCGCTAATGCAAAACCTTCTTTAATTTCTACCAAAAGGAATCCCTAAATTATATCAAAAGCAAATGTTTCTTTGCATACTGTTTATTTTTGGATAAAGACCCAGATAAAAAGGTACATAGATCTTTGAATATTTCTCTCTCATTTTTCTTGTTTCTATCTATTTGAATATTTAAACATTTTAGTTAACATATTGATTAAATTTAGGTCCGGATTGCCATGGCATTATAAAGCAATTATTTAAGTTCTGTCTAATTATTTTTTTTTTTTACCAGACCCCTTTGAATTTAGATCTGCCTTGACCACTTAGCAGCAGTAACTTAGGGGCAAATTCTTAGAAATTGCAAAAGTAGAAAAANTACCGCTGGCTGCTAAAATTTAGTTTGTTATATTTTCATTGTTTTGAATCATTATTATTTTACAGGCATGTCTCAGAGATTGAATTATGATGCTCTTAAAATAAATAAAATTTAATAATATTAATTGAACTTTATTGATCTCACATTGGAGAAATTTTCCTCTGCATTTATCCATCCCTTTTGGGGAGCAGTGGGCTGCCGTTGTGGGGCGCCCAGGGAGCAGTGTGGGGGTTGGTTAAGGGTCCCACAGTGGCAGTCTGTGGGAGTGGGGCTCAAACCCAGAACCTCAGGATTCCAAGTTCTATGCTCAAACCACTAGGCTGCATTCCCCCTAATCTGACTGAAGTAAGAGCTCTCAATATTATCTATTACTATGAAACTTAAAGCAGCACCAAATCCTCTTTCCCACTGAAAATATCAGGTTTAAGAGTGTTTTTCTAACATTGGTCGACCCGCTAACAATCAGAATTTGGCTCCCTTCTCACTGCAAAAAAAGCTGTGTGTCAACTCTGCAACTCGGCAAGCTATGTTTCCTCTGTCCCTCCGCCGCTACGTGTCTGGTAACAGCATCACACTGTGTTAGCTTTGATGATAGGGGTGTAAATCACACCAGTTTTGCTGGTTTGCTTCTGCAACGTCGGTCTGGAATTTCTAGGGACGCACAGCAGTTTCCCGCCAAAGGGGGAGCCTATTTGAGAACTTGCTAGAACTACGGCAGATTGTCACGAGAACTTCTTCAGCGGTGCCGGTGGGAGTGTTTATTTTTCAACGCAACATATCTGAGGCATCGTACAAGTGGTTGTACTTCCAAACCTCCTCGATCGACTTTTCATCATGTTTATCCACTGTTGTTATTACTCCTTCGTTTTTAAAAATAGCGCGCCCCGCCACCGAAACGAGAAGGACGACCACATAGACAGCCGGGAAGGCGTACCAAGGACCAGTCACAGCTGCTTTTTGTCTGCGCACTTCCGCTTCAGGTCTGCGCGGGTTTGCAACCTTCAGACGTGTAGTCAGGAATTTTTTGAGGTATGCAACGACGGTTGCAAAACCTCTGCGCGGGGGGCGTGGTCTCACACAGAGACAGATTTGACGGTTGTAGAGGCTGTGCGTCAGAGGTATAAATTAGCCTTAAGAAACAGAGAGCAACATGTTTGGAAGCCAGGGCATAGTCACCGTGCTTTGTTGTTTGTTCTTCTGTCTGTCTGAATCCCTCTTACCAGCGCTGCGCCATGTTTAACAAATGTAAACAGAGTTGTTTCGGCTTGTTAGATCAGACTTGGCTGTCACTTTCTGTTGAGGTCCGTATGTTGTTTAATAGTGTCACATAATTTAGTGTGTCAACCCAGCTCTGGTGTTCCCACAGCATGCCGTTCAGAGCCGGGGCGATTTCAACGCATGTCGCTTGCCGAGTCATTTGACCCAGGTAGACACGTTTCAGTGAGTTGTTCCCACTGTCACTAAAAGCAGATATTCCCAGGTTTAAATTGTTTTTTTCCGCCAGTGTGAAAGGGGTATGAATAATGTTTGAGTGGCGCTCCCCCTACAGGACCTTTTGAAAATAGCACTGCTTTAAACACTGAGCTGTTCAGCACCTCACAGCTTCCATCATAGCAGCTAGATCAGGGGTCTTCAGTCTTTTCCAGGCCAAGGAGCCCCAAACTGATGGCGAAATGGAGCGGGGACCCCCTAATTTTATATATTGTTTGAAATTGTGTTATATCAACCTGGTCCTATAGTCACTCTATTAAAGATAAAGTAATGTAAAGAAAGTAATTTCACCCTGGGATTATTAAAGTATTTCTGATTGTGATTCCTCGTTGATGGGACAGGTGTCGTGAATGAAACGGTGCCCAGCTTGAAAGAGCTCCTGTGTGTTGCTGAATGTGTGAATTGATGACTGAAAGACATCTTCTGCTTCCATTTATCTGTTTGTATACGATCAAGTAAAATTATAAAATCAAATACAAACAGCATAAAAATAAAACAACAAGCCGGTCCCATCTAGGCATAATCGGAGAAAATGACAGACGAAGTGTGCTCCTGATGTGCTCCTGATGTCCCTGATGCTCCGTAGCTTTGTTTTGGTCGCTGTAACCGCAGAAAATCCCGCTTCACAAAGATAGGATGTTATAGATAGGATGCGTCTTGAACTGAATTAACCTGTGTCAAGAGGCACAGATGCACTGACTGATGTAATTGGGAAAGAATACCGCAATGTTTTATATTTTTCAAAATAAAACATCACTCAGACTCTGATCGTCGATAAATTATGTATATATATATATATATATATACTTTTTACTGTGCGGCCCCATACCAAATGACCCACGGACCGTTACCGGTCCGCGGCCCGGTGGTTGGGGACCGCTGCTCTAGTGTATAGCAGCCTTTTTGCTGGAAATAAATAAGTCTGTCTCTCAATTGAACCATTTTTTTTTTTAAATTGCTCTCAAAAGGTGATTTAGGCCTCTACATTTTTTACAGATTCATGCGACAAATCGGTGACCCTAAAGTCATAACAGTAACACTAGTTAAAAGAGATTAGCAGATATGGCTCTTAAAATTCTAACTACATTGCCAGGTCTGCAGCAGTTTTTATCCTCTTGTTGAAGGAGTAAATATCTTGCCTGAATTTAATTAAATTCAGTTTATTTAAATCATGCCAACTAATGCTAGATGTTCACCTGCATTTTGTCATTCACCCTTGCTAGAGTCCTGTCCCGAACTGATTTATGTTTTCTCTTCCTTCCCTCTATTGACAGAGATTTTCTTTGCCATTTTTGGTGGCTACAACATGTCATAAACCTCTAAATTAAATATAAATAAAAAACTTTTTATAATCACCTGAGGACAGTGCAGCTAAACGTGCTGTTCCTAAAGCCGGGAATACACTGTTCAATTTTTTTCCAATCGTTGCATGCAGCTACAACTCACACTGTATGACAAAACTGCAGGGTTTGCCTGCTCACACTACGTCTAAAAACCACGTCGTACTCAGCTCCACAGTGAAATGGCGCTACTCAGACTCGTCTATCCGGGAGCCAAACGAGTAGAAGAGGATTATGAAGCTCACTAGACTGAAACGCACTGCCTTTTCTTCTGAGAGGAATAAGAAGAATCCCTTTTTGTGCATGCCCACTGAAAGATTTGCCAACGACGGCCAACTGAAAATCAAGCATGTATGATTTTCTCCTGACCTCACGATTCCTGATCGGGAGATGGTCTGAGAGGCTGATCCTCCATTGTTACCCCCTGCA